ACTGCTTGTTTATCATCACAAATTTCAAACGTTTTTGTTGCATCGTTTTTGAGTTTTTCTGCAAAGTATGTTCTTTGCTTTTCTTTAAAATTTTTAAAGGGTGTTCTTGATTATACTTTGTATCTTCCAAACCGCATAACGTTTCTTGGGCAACTGTACAAAACTCTGCTACTTGAATAACCCAATCTTGTAACGGTTCTACCCCAGGACCTTTTTGCTTTTCAAATAACCGTCGTAAAAAAATACTTAGCAATGTTTTTGAAAACTTCTTAATAAGTTTAATGTAGAGTGAGCCATCCGCTAACTCATCGAGTTTTACCAATTCTTTTAAATTTATGATTGCAGTTTCCAACATATCAGCAAAGTTTTTAAGATTACTTGGGTTGTTTGATTTTACTGGACTAAAGTTTTCTACTCGCTTCAAATACAAGGCAATTTGTCGTCATTTGCCCCCATACTTTCTTTCAAATCAATCTCTTGCAGCTTCGTACGCAGCTTTTGAATACACCAAACTTTTAACAATATTTGAAGCTTTCCCTGATAAGTACTGGCTTAGTTTCAAGAGTTTATATTCTAGTGTAGCTGGAACCCTATCAATACATGCTTTGAACGCTGCCTTCCAATTTTCGTTTTGCATTTTATCTCCAGAGAAGACAGGAGTCAACAATCTAGATAAGCGTTTCCATAAATCTTAACTAAATTCTCTTTACGTACTTAGGTCGCTGTTTGTTGGTTGAAGGTCAATACCTTTTTACAGTACTCCATTTATGTTAGATGGTTCACCTCGCCAACAAGTTTAAACAGGGCGTGTTTGATAGCCGTTTTTTAAATCAAAACTTTTAGCATGCCGTTTAACTTGTACATACTGTTGATCTTTTTTTAACTTATCAGATTTTATTAGCAGATTTTGTTTCAAATATTTTCCATATCTATCATCTAGCAATCCATATCCATTAATTCACAACGCATTGATCCCATTTTCATTTTTCCCACACCATGTTGTTCATAACCAACTTTATCAATGCCACTTTTATTTTTCATTTTTATACCAATCCTTTCAAGTTAAATTTTACGTTCGCCTCTATCCCCTATTGTGACAATGCTTGAATCGTCATCTTTTCAAGAGTAAAGATATTCGTGCGTCATTTCTTCTTATTAAATGCAGGCAGACTCTATTACTTCAATTTTTTTAGTAACCTTAGTGGCCATTTCGAATTCATTACTTTTCCGACACTCAACTAAAAGGTCATCTATTGTCTTTGTTCACCCGATTGTGCCACATCAAGTTTTTTCCAACATTCGCGAACATCGTTTCTGCTAGGAAAGTCGGAATAAAGTAATTCCACTAGCGTTTTTCTCGTTTTCGTAAACGTTACATATGTCTCCGTTTTAGCTCATTTTAGCTGATCCATCTGAATATGATGAACTTCTTCCAACTCACCTTCGCTTTTAATATTGCTTACTGTTGTATTTAATTGCTAGAAAACTACCATCTGCTACTAAAATGTTTGTATGAAAGCATGTAGAGCGTATTAAACTTAATAACAATACGTGACTTATTTTAGCATTATATAAATCGATTAGAACGTTAATCGCTAACTCAAAAAAACGCTGTTTCAAATAAGTTTATACACAATTATATATACCATATAATATTTCCCCAAGATAGATAATATAAGCATTTTTAACTTTTTAATGATATATATATATATATATATATATATATATATATATATATATATATATATATATATATATATATATATATATATATATATATATATATATATATATATATATATATATATATATATATATATATATATATATATATATATATATATATATATATATATATATATATATAACAAAATTAAAACCTAACAATTAGTATAAACATATGATAAAGTTACTGCCACTATTTTCGAACAAGCTATTCTGAAAAAATGTGTTCAAACCGAAAAAAAATATTTTTAATCCAACTATTAACATAAATCTAAAATGTCAACCAAATTTTTTGTTGAGACATTATGACTAACAAAATGAGAAGCAGGCTGCTAAAGACGAATCTATTGGTATTTACAGTTAAGAAAAACCAGAAAAAATAGTTTTTATTGCTTATTTAAAATTTGAAAACCTCGTTAGCCAAGTGCAGCAAAAAGAGAGACTAAAACTCAAATAAAAAGATTGAAAGACCAAGGTAAAAGTCATTGCTCTAAAGATTGTTAGGTGGTTGTCAAAGGTATAATTTTTGCTGTTACTTTTTTACTTTTAGATGATGATGCAAAAAAAGAACACCTACTAATTGCAGTGCAAAGTTTATCTTTTTAATAGGAGTTTATGAAGCGATTTATTAAAGTTTTATTATTGTTAAGATTATTTGTATTTAATGTAATCAGCAACATTGGCTGAGACTAACATATAATAACATGTATATATTTTTATATAATTAAAAGTTTTGTATCAAGTGGATGATGAACTGACAAAACTCTTCTGAAAGGGATGTTAACTGAAGGGCTAGAAAGGCATATATATGTGTCAACCATGACCACTTGTGAGAATACCAAGCTAAATACATCATTAAATAATTCGACAAAATTTCTTTTTGGGGATTTTCAGAAAAAAAGACTATGCAATATTTTGTGAATTTCCTTGATTTTTGTTTGCAACAAGTATTATAGACCTAATATTTCACCAACAAGAATCAAGTCAAAAGATTTTGTGTTGAGACATTTATATCCTAACCCTTTACATAAATAAAAACATAAACCTTTACATAAACAAAAACAAACACCTTTACACAAATAAAAACATACACCACAGGATTCTATCAATTTTATTGTTATCTGTTATGCGCTTCGGTAATTAAAAAAGCTTTCTTGCTATTCATGATCTTAAGTCTATTGAAGCTTTGTATACAACTAAAAAGACAATTGTTAAAGCTTTACTTTTTTTTTTGAACATTATGTTTTCCCGTTTAAAAAATGTTAGAATCTACAAAAGTTTTAAAATTGTATATTATTAGCGTGAAGAACACATCTATTTTGTGTTTTTACAGAGCACTGTGTTTCGATGTTCTTTTCTTACAAAATTTATTCCAAGAAATTTAAGTATAAGTTAAGACATAAGATAGTTGTTTACAAAAATATTAACATTAAAATAAGATCGTTTTAATCAAAAAAAAAAACAACAACAATTCATTTACTTTATTCAGGTCTTCATTCACTGCTTTAAAAAATGTTTCAATATTTTTATGAGAAAAAAAACAACTAGAGTCTTCTGCAAATAAAATAAAATTGATGAAGATTGATGTTGAAGATAAACATCCTAATATAGAACCCAGTGGATTTCCACAAGCTACTTCAGAGAATTGAATACTTTAGAAAATACAAAAGTTTATTTACTTACTTTGTGTGTATTAGGGCTTTGTTTTTTCTATATAATGTTGTTAGTTATAATATTTTTATTTTACATAAATATTTTTAATTTTACAAAAATTTCATAAAAAAAAGTTCTGCAATTGTTAATTAAAACAAAAAATATAACACAATATCTAAAACAGTAAAATTTTAATAAAAAGAAAATTAAAAAAGGTTATAAAAGTGAAAAACTCTATTCTAACATATGTAATGATATTCAAGTTGTGAATATAATTACATATGTTTATTCGCAGATATAATTTGTTCAGTGATTTAATTAAATCTGTTTTGTTTTTTTAAACAAATTATTTAGCCGTACAAATAATTTTAAGTTTTGGAAGAGCAAGAGGGGTTTTATTTTTTTTATGTAGGCGATGGAAAATAGTATACTTAGTTTTAGTTAAATTAAAAGAAAGATTGTTCATATTTAACCACTCTGTTAGTTTTAGAAGTTCATTGTTGACTGTTTTGAACAATTTGTCATACCACTATGAAAAATTAAATAAATTTTTGTAATCAGCAAATAAGATAGAATCTAGAAAATTAGAGGCATAACTTGAATAATAAACTATTTTCCTAAAAATAAATACAGTTATACTAAATGCGTTCTAGTATTTTCGAGAAGCAAGGAAAAATAGTAATAGATCTATGGATAAAAATATAAGTATCATATCTAGATTTAAAATCTGTTATTTTTTCTTGCAGTTTCATTTTTTATGGAAAATTTTCTATTTAAAAAAAATATTAAATGTTTGAAAATAAACTTTTTTAATATATAAAACACATTAAATTATAACATTTTCAAATCCTTGTGCTTCGTTTAATTTTAATGAGCACACAGCATCTAATAACTCTTTTTCAGTTAACTCAGCATTTTCCAATATTGACTTCTGAACAAATTCTTTTGATGAAAAACAAGAAAGATAAACGAGGTGAAATAAAAGTCTATCTGTACAAATTCAATAAACAAAACATATACGTTTCTAAACAATGCTTTACATAAGTAAAATATTTTAGATTGATTAAGAGAATATAATTTTTTTTTACTGCGCTAATATTACTTTTTGTAGAATTAATATATATATATATATATATATATATATATATATATATATATATATATATATATATATATATATATATATATATATATATATATATATATATATATATATATATATATATATATATATATATATATATATATATATATATATATATATATATGTATGTATATATATATATATATATATATATATATATTATATATATATATATATATATATATATATATATATATATATATATATTATATATATATATATATATATATATATATATATATATATATATATATATTAAAAATATATTTTAAGGCAATATTTAAAATAATATTTGTTAAGTTAACTTGTTCAAAACTCAAAATAGGTAATACAAATAATTATTTACTTTAGATTTAATAAATAGTATTGATTACAATAATCATCATCACAATTACCGTTGTTTTTATCGTCATCATCATCTTCATCTTTATTTTCATTTTTGACTTAATAAATTGAACATTGGAATTATATTTTTTAGAAAATAACATGTACTGCAAACCTCAACTGAGTGTGACATATACTGGAATAATAAATGGGTAAGTATTTCATTTTGGTCTTATAAAAAAGGAGAAAAGTAACTACCCGTACATATATCTCTATATTTCCTTAATTAAAAATTATTATATTTAGATAAAATTTTATATAGATAAGGTTGATAAGAGTTAACATTATATATATATATATATATATATATATATATATATATATATATATATATATATATATATATATATATATATATATATATATATATATATATATATATATATATATATATATATATATATATATATATATATATATATATATATATAATGTTAACTATATATATATATATATATATATACGTATTATTTGAAATTTGAAGTAAAATTATCACAAAATAGATCATTAAAGAAATTAAAGATTAGATGGGAAAAATAAAAACTTTTTTACGGCACTTAAAGTTTAAAGCCGTTTTTAGCACTCATCAGTTATATATTTGAATAAAAAAAAAATTGTTCAAAAATACAATTTAAAAACCGTTACAAAATTAAAAAATAAAATGAAATGACTTCTGACATCAAATAGTAATAGTAATATTAATTATAACAATAATAATAGCAATAATAACAAAAAAATCTTCTATATAATAATACTGAACTTATTTTTAATGGTGTCCTTTGGAGTTTATTTGACACAAAACCCTTCGCAGCCATGGCAACCGAGGAATCGGCAAGAAAGAGTCGCAGCACTATAAGAAAACGTGAACAAATATCTAACGTACGTAAATTTTAAACTAAAAATAATAAAGCATATGTTAAAACACACTGAAACAGTTACCAAGTTTTACAGCTTGGTTTTCACTTGAAAATTACATTGCGTCAAGCTCTAATTAACTTCGATCTGTAACATATTTTCCTCAAAAAAAAAATTACATTATTTAAAAAAATCCAGATGATATGCCGGTGTAGCACTAGTGAATAAGGCGTCAAACATATATGCTATTTGTTTATATATATATATTCTTTATAAAATGTAAAAAATCCCCTTATATATCATTTTATTCAGGATCGTATGTAATATAAATAAACTTTTCTAATAATTACAACTCTTTTTTGGTCAAGCTGTTTTATTTGGGTTTTTTGTAGTTATGTTAATATATTCAAAAAAATTGACAAGATTAAAAAAACACGAAACATATTGTCACTTCCAAGTGAAAAATTTGAAACTTCAATATTAGATTTGCTTCTCTCTCAATAATTTCTGATTTTTAAGGTATGTTATCTGCTTCTTAGACCTTTAAAAATTATAGTCATATAAATGAGATTTTATTTCAATTTTTGATAAAAACTCTTTCTATTTATGATATACTAGCAAAAAGCAACCCGTAATACGGGTTTTGGTCGGTATGTTACCTAATTATTTTATGGTGGCTGTTTTCCACAATTTCATGTTGCAAAACCTTAACTAATACCCTTTCAGAAAATCGCCTTCAGCTTGAAAAAATTAATCCATCTGTAACATTAACATAAAAAGTAAGAGGAGGTAAATAATTTACCAACTACTACTTAACATTTACAATCACTACTTAACATTATTTAAGTAATTTACAAATGGCATAGGTCATAACAGTAAAAGGCAGAACCATTTTCATCGACCTTCTTAAGTTTAAGACAATACGTTTTTAGTTACTGACACAAATTAATAACACTTGGTCATGCTTTAAATTGACGAAAGTGTCAACTAAATCCTTGTAATAATTTTTATAACACGAACCATTAAGATTAAAATGAAGTTAACTTATATTATACAGGAGTTATCAATTTTTTGGTATCCCCTTGATTAGAAAATTGCCAACTTGAAAATGTTAAATGCACACTTTTAAATAAATTTATAAAAAATAACAAAATTTATTATAAATAACTACGCAACTGAGTACAAATACCTTTCAAACAAAAAAAATTTAATTTACGATCAAACATGGGTATAACAAATTTTTTAATGCATTAATGCATCATATGACAAACCTAAAATAAAAATTATAACAGATAAGTAGACATGAAAATTTGTAAACCAAGCTGACCCGACCCGGGTCTTGTTAAGTCTGTTCAACACAGACCATTTATATATTATTCGTTTGGCCTCTTTATTTCATTAATTTTTAGTAAACGGTAATTTGCCAACATTTACTAAAAATTCCTTTTGTAACTCGAAATTTATTTTTCCTAAATATTTTGACTAATAAAGAGGTTCCTTCCCTCTTTTTGCTTTAATGGTGGCCAGGTGAATAAAATAAAATAATAAAATGTAAAACAATGATCTCATATATAAGAATGTTTTCTTTCTTTCTTTCCTCTAAAGTGTTGCAAATACAGACTAAGCTAACTAATTAGTTAAACACATAAAAAAAACATAAGTAACTCGATATTAATGCGCAAAACTACAATATTCTCCATATTTTTAAAGGTTATTAGTTACGACCCCCCATTTACAAAGATCCCGTTAAAATAAGTACAACAAATTATTAGGCATAAAATAGATAAAATATAAAATTAACTAATAGCATATATTTATATCTTTTTAACTAACAAAAATTTACAATAAAAAGAAATCAAGTTATTTTATTTTATAAATCTTATAAATGCGTCATAACGTAATTCTAAAAAAAAAAAGTAATGAGATTATGATATCATAATTAAAAAGAAAAAAAAAAAAAAAACCACCACACAATTACTAAATATCGATTTACCCATTTATAGTAAGCTATTTTAAAATTGCCGTTAAAGATTTATCGAAAATGTAACTATAAAATCTGTTTCGAAGTACCAAAGCAATACTAAAAAAAAAATCAAACTAAGATATAAATTGTTGTTTTGGCTTTTATAATTTAAACATATATACAACTATAAACAAATATAACTTTATGTAACACGTATAAAAACATTTTACAACTATTGAATGATAGATTTATTTACCAAAAACAATGAAAAAAAAAAAAAAAATAATGATAAAGTTATACATACATAATGTGCTCACAACCTTTAACAATAAACTTTCGAAATGAAAATCTAAAGAATATAAATTAAGAACATTAAAAAATATAACAATATTTATGTTACATTTTTTTACCTACTATACCTTGAACAAGATGTTTATCCATTTTGAAAAAAAAACTATTAAATGCTATAGTTCTTGAAAGTGCAGTATAAAGTTGACCATTAGAGAAACACGGTTTTTAAGATATTTCTTGTCTATATGTTTAATTTCGCGTTACGTAATATATAGACGATCCCTAAGAGAAAATACTTGAAACTAAAAAGATTTTATTTATTACAATATTTGAACAACCAAGGGATAATTTAAAGAATTATATCTTTAAATAGCAAACTATTAATCGCAGTATTAAAAAATACACAAGAGCTTAGTAATTACAGAGTTTAATATATTCTCCCTCTACAATTCTCAATACTAATTATTATTTAAGTCTCATCTAAGAGAGAGAGGAAGTGTTTTAAAAACAGCATGTTAGAAAAAGTAAAAAAGTCATGCAATAAATAACAGTAACTGGTTTTATTATGCTTCCAAGAAACAAAATTATTTTTACCTTAACTAAAAGTTAATTTCCAGCATTTCTTAATTAAGTTGCAGCTTCTCTCTAACTGTTGACAAATGAGTAATATTGTAAATTTCACAACATATTAATCTTACAAAATTAAAACCATGATTCAACAGTAAGCAAAATAATCAAGTGACGACAAAAAAGACTAAAAAAAAATGAACACAATTATGTTTAAGATAACATAAAAAAAAAAAAAAAAAAAAAAAAATCATTTAAAATTGAAACTGTCATTATTTGTTACTATAAATAGTAAAATTCATACTTTGCTTTATTTTAAAGTGTCTAATGTAAAGTCAAATAATAGACATCAACACCGCTTGACACTGAATTTTGTCAAGTAAGTTTTCTGTTCATCAAGCAAAGTTTCTTATATTACAACGACAATTAATGTTATTACGCCTAAATCTACTTCTTTCATATGACAACAATTTCAAGTCACCTATAACCATTTACACTTATAACTTCTTCAAGCCTAATATTATACATCTGTTATCATTAAATATATATTACCAGTGATTATACTACTGTTACAACTAAATAAATGAACGTTTTACAACTGAAAAATATAAAACAAAATTTATTGACATTATTTTAATTTAGCAAAGAATTTAGAACACAATGCAAAGTTATTTGCATTGTGTTCTAAATTCTTTGCTAAATTAAGAAAGCCTTCAGGCGCACAAAAACAATAAATGCAGAATCTTGTATAAAAAATGAAGCAATGTCAGTCTAAAGTAATATATATATATATATATATATATATATATATATTTATATATATATATATATATATATATATATATATTTATATATATATATATATATATATATATATATATATATATATATATATATATATATATATATATATATATATATATATATATATATATATATATATATATATATATATATATATATATATATATATATATATATATATATATATATATATATATATATATATATATGTATGTATATATATTTAAATTTTTTCTATTTTTAATTTTTTCTTTGAGATAATAATTTATAGATTCAGAGAAATATAAAATATTTTGATATATAGGCACATATATGTATATAAACTTACCTGTCAAAAATTACAGTCAGTTTTCGATGTTAAATAAATAAAATATATATCTAATATAAAATTAAACAAAACGTTAAACTTACTCAAATCAGTAACAGTTCGACTGTCTAAATATTTGTATTATTAACCCTTCTATTTAAAAAAAGGAAACAAATGATTTGAAGTGACTAAAAAGCACTTTAGCTCTTTCCAATTGCACTAAAAAATAAAATAAATCTTGCTTTGCTAAGATGCCTAGTTTTTAAGAATCTGAAAACAAATAAGTAAAAAAACCAAGAACAAACAAACATTTATTTACTAAAACTACTCTATTTAAACAAATTAAATTAAACAGAGAACAACAT